TTACAGAAAATAATTATTAAACTTTACAAAAAAAACTTTTAAAAAATTTATATATAAAACTAAAGTAAAACCATATATATATAACAAATACTTACTTTGACAAAATATAACAACTATAAATTATCTTTGAAATAAAAATTTTCAAAATGTTATTTCGAATATAAACAAACAGAATTTGAAAAAAGAGTTGGAAAGTGAACAATTACGAAAGATGTCATAAGAATTTGCTGAGAATAGTTATTAAACTTAATTAAAAAGGCTCATAAATATTAATGCTTAAAACTAAAGTAAAATAATTCATATCTATTTTACTATGTAAAATGAATAAAAGTTATTATAAATAAAGTGTTTAATTATATAGTATATAAATGAATTTGAATTATACGAAGGAAGGAAAAAATGGCAAATAATTATCAACCATTTTTTCTCAATGATGGTAATATAAAATTGATATGCCATCACTTTACTCATCAGTAGGATAATATATGAATTTTAATATAAAATATATAATTAAACTAAACTGAGATTATTAATTATACTTTTTAACATAGTCATGTTGTTTACATTCACATGATAAAAAAAATAGACAAAAAATATTCTCACACACATTTTCAAATATAGTCTGATAGTTCATCATTGAAAAAAGAAAATGCTTCAAATCAATTAAAATTAATTTATCAAGTAAGCATAATTTTTTGATATAAAAACCTATCAAACATATGTAATATTTGAACAAATCTTTTGTTTTATCTAGCCAATTCTAACTAAAATTCTCCTCGTTTAGAGTTATAACTAATCACATAAATGAATGAGATGAAAGTTTGCATGTAATAAAAGAAAAAATCAGTAGATTACAATCAGAATAGTGAGACTAAGAGGCAAAAAAATAAAAGATTAATTGTGCTTGAAAATGAGTTAGATTTTTTGAAAATGGATAAAAAAAATTAAGGAAACATTTAGTTTAGAATGGAGAAAGATTGATGATGATTTCACTATCTATGAAAATAAGACGTAGAAAAAGATGGAAAATCAATTAAATACAAATAAACAGTAAAAATACATATAATACTTATTGCAATATATAAATATATGAAATATTTTTTAACAATTAATACATTATAATCTATATTAGAAAAATAATTATACAATATAGATATATATTTATGTTAAGGCAGCAAAAACATTTAAAAAATAAAAGACATATATAACAAATAATAATATTAATTTAATAAATATATATAATAGTAATATAAATATATAAATTTTTAATTAAATTAATAAATAAGTCTCCCCAATGCACGGATAAAAACCTAATCATTTTTAATTCTTATCTCTCTGTTCCCAGACAGAATCTAATCCATGTCTTCCTAAAATCCCCTGTTTTACTGAAAAATTAATAACTAAACGTGCGTTAGATATATGGAAGAAAACACGTTGTTCATTAATTCAAGATTCAGGATATGCTTGACTGCGTAATTTTTTTGGGATGGGTTTTATCTAAATTTGGATATACAAATTTTTATATCTCACATAATATCCAGCTTCAATTCTTATTTTGATGATCCCGTCGTTTTATGATTGGTATTTATGAAGTCAAATTATTATGTTTTTTTAAATGGGTCGTAGGATCGAATTTAAATTTTGAATATCTTGTGGTAAAAATGTAGGCTCTAGAGCTGTTTATTATGAGTTCATTTGTTTTAGACATTTCTTCATTTGTAAAACTACTTTCCGTCAGATCTGATGATGTATTGTAAAGAGTTTGATTCCCTACGTGGTAGTGTTTATATCTTAAAAGCGATAAGCACTTTTCGATGGTACATTTTATTCATCAGGAAGAATTTGGGAATTAATAAATCAGTTAGCAAAAAAAAAAGAATTTGGGAATTAATGCAGTAAGGGAGGTTATGAGGTGCAGAGGTGGCCAATGTGAATCCAAACACTCTGACGAAACACGAGGGTTCGGTTCCAGCAAGGCAGCAACTAAACATCATATGCGCCTTCCGAATGTTATGGCCTAATGAAGCCCAAAAATAATATGAGACTGATGAAACAGATGAAGCCCAGCACCACTTATCAAAAAGAGCAACGGTCTAACTTTATTAAAAATCAAACTCTCTTCACATCAACTTAACAAACATTCGAGCTTTACAAACAATTGCGGTTTAGTACATTTGAAATTCATCTTTTTTTGTTGTTGCAAGTACATTAGAATTCATTACAACCTTCGAATATAATCAAAGAATTATAGCATAGTTTGTATACACGATTTTATAATTGTATTCTAAGCAAACAAATTTTCAATAATATTTTTTTTGGTTGGTATATACAGAAACTAAATATTCTATTAATATTTTTTGTTATTATTATTTTTTTCGATTTAAATTTTGTTTTACAAAAGAAATTTCAAATTAAGAAGATGATTCAAAATAGAGAACAGCTCATCTAACATTGAGGAAAACAAAATAGTGATGCAATTCATATCTTGTCTAATGAAGATTCTCAGAAGAGCTGCTATCTCCCTTAGCTGCTTTTTTAACAGCTGATATTGCTTCGAAGGGTCAGATTCTTAACAATGCTAACAAGAAAAAAAACTGAAAAGTAAATATACGATGATATTCCTGTAATATATATGTTATCACTGACGTCCTATAGAAGATCTTCACCGACGGTTGAAGTAAAGGCAAGATGGTAGTGACATTGAGATACATGAAGCAGAGTTTGTGAGGGCAATCAATGGCAAGATCCCTAAGCTATATCATGCAATTGCAATGATTACCTCGTTGCAAAAAAATTCATCATCTGATGAACTGCTCTCTGCATTAGTTTTGGCATTTTGTTTTCTAATTTTGTTTTTTTTTAAAAAAAAATCAGATTAAGAAGATGTTCCAAGGCAGAGAACAGCTCATCTCAATGCAGCTCATCTAACATTGAGAAAAATAAAATATTCATGCAATTCATATCTCATCTGATGAAGAATCGTCCTCAGAAGAGCTGCTATCTCCCTTAGCTGCTTTCTTAATACTTAAAAAAAATTATTGCACAAAAAGTGCATGTGTTCTATTTTAGTAAAGATAATAGTTTGGTTTATGAAGCATATCCATCTGATTGCTAAGAAATATTAAAGTTTTTAAAAGGTAAATTTATAATTTTATGGTTTAACCCAAATTTAGGATTGCAAAAAGTTAGGTTTTCTTGCTCCAAAAAGAGTTTAGAGAACAATTGAGATATGATTTGGTTAAATAAAAACAATAAGTATTGTGGACCTAAAGAATGCAACATTTAAGGTTTAGTGTTGAAAAACAACTCACATTGCTTAATATCACCCAAAACTTACTATACATTATTAGAGAGCAAGATGACAATTAATAAAAATTTCGCTTTGCTGAATGCTGTTAGAGTCCAGCAAAGTATTGTCTACTCGCAAATGAAATTGAACGTAGATTTCATTTTTGTTTTCTTAGAAAATTTATTTTATTTATAATTAATGAGTTGAATATATAATTTGTGGAGGAATGTACTCTATAAATGTTTCAACTGCCCTAGAGGTCGTATAGAGTTATACATTATTTTCTGTTGATTAATGAGTTCCTCCTCGACTCAAGCCCTGTTTAGGAAGCTCCATCCCTATATCCGCAATACAATCGACAAGTCCAGTTTTGTCGATTTTACCCCCATCCCTGTCCCCCTTCAGAAACGATTTTTGTGTGTGTGTATAAACACATAACTTGTTTCACACGCCTTTGAAAGAAAAGGATTGTGTTTCAAGCATAGTCGATTCATGTTATTATAAAATGGTGTTGTTGGAGTTTTATACATATGCACTTTCGTAAATCAAACAAGTAAATTTTGTTAAATCAACTCAGCGTATGCCCTCAGGCCTCAAGGCCCTCAACAGCCAACACCTACTTTTCTTGTATGCCTTGTCCTTTTAATTTTTTTGGACGATTTCTGTCTTGACTATTATTTATACTCTAACACCAATTGTGAGTATTACAAGTTAAACCTTACTTGTCCTCTTTCTTCGGGACGTTTACTTTAATGGCACAAAGTTATAAGTTTATTATTAGAATATTTCTTATTCATAAAATTTATAGGTAAAAGTTATAAAACCCTACTTACTTTTTCTTTGTTTTTTGTTTAACCATATAAAGTAAATCCTAATTTCTTCTCTTTGCTATCCTCTCGCTTTCTTCCTTGGGAGATCGATCAAGTCAGAAACTATAAGAAAAACAATGATGATTCCCTATATCCCACGGGAATTGGAATGGGACATACTCTCTAGGGTTCCTGCCACGTCTCTAAAACAGTTGCGGTTCATTTTGCACAAAGATGGAACGATTTATTCAAAGATCCGAGATTTATTAAGAAGAACATTGGTAGAGCAGCAACGCAGATGGTATAAAGAAAGATCAATCGGTTTATTCATTTAGCATCGATCTCCATAGAATCCACAACAGGTATGATCAGTTTATTAAATTTACAGGTAGACTTGAGAGTCTAAAGGATTCAGAAGATGTCAAGATATCTGAAATCTTTGTTGTTATGCACACGACCAAAGACAACAGACTCGTGGTTTGGAACCCTTGTACTGGTCAAACCAGGTGGGATACAACCCAGACTATCTAGTAGTTGAAAATTTTGTCAACTGTGTAAATAACACAAGTTTGACGGTGGGCACTGGGCCAAAATATTTGTATAATAATCTCTCTATAATATCCAATTCCATGTTCTGCTCATTACGAGTCTCTATCATGGGCTTCATTAATTGTAAGCCCATCAAAGGCCCATTTTCTCGACCCCGTTCGTGTCCTCCAAGTCTGAACCCTGGGTTTTTGCCCAATCGCCTCCGCCTCCGGCAGAACCTCTCTCTGTCGCGTGAACAAGCTTCTCGGTCTCTCTCTCTCTCTTTCTCCTATGGCGTGGCTCAATAACATCTTCAATTCTTCTTCGACATTGGTCAATGGCGGCTCTTCTGTATTTCCCTAAAATCTCTTCAGAAGTGACTTCCTCACATTTTCTCAATCTCTCACCCATGGATTTGAGGAGACTCTCACGCGCAAGCTACTTACTCACGCGCCGCTTGAAATCCATAGCTTACGGCCGGAGAAGCTTCCACGCAACCCGATACCTGCAACAGCAGGTCCGTCGGCCGGAGAAATCGGAAGAGGCTTCCTCTGATCGGCATTTGCGCGAACGTTTATCCGCGGCTTTGTCAAGGAGATCTCTAGATTACGAGCAGTGTAAACAACTCATAGCTACTTTATCGCCTCGCGAGTTCGATACGCTGTTCCCTGACTTTCGATCCAAAGTTAACCCCAAGACGGCTTTGGACTTTTTTCGCTTAGCGTCTGATTCGTTTAGTTTCTCCTTCAGCCTCCGTTCTTATTGTTTACTGATAGGCTTGCTGCTCGACGCGAGCCTGTTGTCTCCCGCTAGACTAGTTCTGATTCGTTTGATCAATGGGAACGTTCCGGTTCTGCCTTCTGCTAGTGGCTCTGGAGACGGTCGAGTTGCGATTGCAGATGCAATGGCGAGTTTGAGTTTGTGTTTTGATCCAGAGATCAGAACAAAGATGTCAGATTTGTTGATCGAAGTGTATTGCACACAGCTGAAGCGTGCTGGTTGCTATTTAGCTCTTGATGTCTTCCCTCTTCTTGCGAGCAAGGGTATGTTTCCTTCCAGGACGACTTGCAACATCTTGCTGACTTCTCTTGTGAGAGCCAACGAGTTTCAGAAGTGCTGTGAAGCTTTCGAAGTTGTTTGCAAAGGGGTTTCTCCTGATGTCTACTTGTTCACCACAGTGATTAATGCGTATTGCAAGGGAGGGAAAGTCGGGGAGGCCATTGAGATGTTCTCGAAGATGGAGGAAGCTGGTGTTGCGCCGAACGTTGTTACTTACAACACTGTGATTGATGGGCTGGGGATGATCGGAAGGTATGATGAGGCGTTTTTGTTTAAGGAGAAGATGGTGGAAAGAGGTGTGGAGCCAACTCTTATCACTTATAGTATTCTTGTTAAAGGTTTGACCAAGGCAAAGAGGATTGGTGATGCGTATTGCGTCGTGAAGGAGATGACAGAGAAAGGGTTTCCTCCTAATGTGATTGTGTATAATAACTTGATTGATGGTTTGATCGAGGCTGGGAGTTTGAACAAGGCTATTGAGATAAAGGATGACATGGTTTCAAAAGGGCTGCCTCTCACATCGTCGACATATAATACTCTCATAAAGGGATACTGCAAGAGCGGTCAAGCAGATGTTGCAGAGCGTCTCCTGAAGGAAATGCTGTCGATGGGTTCAACTGTTAACCAGGGCTCCTTTACATCGGTAATTTGCTTGCTGTGCAGTCATCATATGTTTGACTCTGCTCTTCGTTTTGTTGGAGAGATGCTTTTGCGTAACATGAGTCCTGGTGGTGGATTACTTACTATGTTGATGTCTGGTCTCTGTAAGCATGGGAAACACTCAGAGGCAGTGGAACTTTGGTTTAAGTTTCTAAATAGAGGTTTTGTAGTAGACACGAAGACTTCGAATGCTCTGCTCCATGGACTCTGTGAAGCAGGGAAGCTGGAGGAAGCTTTTGGGATTCAAAAAGAGATATTGGGGCGTGGTTTTGTGATGGATAGTGTTTCTTATAACACATTGATTTCTGGATGTTTCAGAAAGAAGAAACTGGGAGAAGCTTTTAAGCTCATGGATGAAATGGTTAAGAGAGGACTTAAGCCTGACAATTATACTTACAGCACGTTGATCCGCGGGCTGTTTAATATGAATAAAGTTGAGGAGGCTATACAATTTTGGGGTGATTGTAAACGGAATGGTATGCTTCCAGATGTTTATACATATTCAGTGATGATAGATGGATGTTGTCGAGCTGAAAGAACAGAAGAGGGTCAGAAATTGTTTTATGAGATGATAAGCAACAACGTGCAGCCAAATACTGTTGTTTACAATCATCTAATCAGAGCATATTGTAGAAGCGGGAGGGTATCAATGGCCTCAGATCTCCGAGAAGATATGAGACTCAAAGGAATTTCACCTAATTGTGCTACATATACTTCACTAATAAAAGGGATGTCGATCATTAGCTGTGTTGGCGAGGCAAAACTCCTCTTGGATGAGATGAGGGAGGAGGGCTTGGAACCAAATGTCTTTCATTATACAGCACTTATTGATGGATATGGTAAATTGGGTCAGATGGTCAAAGTTGAATGTCTTTTGCGTGAGATGCATTCGAAGAACATAGACCCAAACAAGATCACCTATACCGTGATGATTGGTGGGTATGCTAGAGATGGGAATGTAACAGAAGCTTCTAGGGTTCTAAATGAGATGAGGGAAAAAGGGTTTGTTCCAGATTCTATCACGTACAAAGAATTTTTATATGGATATCTTAAGCATGGAGGTGTTTTGCAAGATTTTGAAGGCTCTGAGGAAGAAAGTTATGCAGCAATCATTGAAGGATGGAAAAAACTCATACAGTAACTGATGAATAAATATAAGAAAAGGTTTCTATTCTGGTTCTCAATGACCCTGTTAGTTGCTCTGATTGTTTCAGATTGTTAAAGGAAATTGTTCTGATTTGTGCAAACCTGATGCTTATTCTTGCAGTTGGCATATTGAGATCCAGTGGTGTCCTCGGTTTTGATGGTCCTATTCATGCCCGAGATTTGCATCTTCTACTTGGAGGAAGACATTAGCATGGAGTTACTTGGTAAATGCATATGGTCCACAATTGGTGGATGGTCTACAAGTAGTTTAGTTTGTGCTACTTGATTCTCCGGCCACACTCATCTAGCAGCTTCGACGTGGTTCAATTTTAGAAAGAAAAGTTGCTTCTTTTGGCACCATATGCTATATATAATAAGGGTTTATGGTTTACAAGTCCCCATTCCTGGTGCTCCTCTGGTTCAAGAATTGAGTGCCACAGACTCTGGATCAGCGCAGGCACTTGAGACAGTAGTCCTAACAAGTTTATTCAGGTACAATAATCTATACACAGAGTTGTGCCACATGTTTATTGCAGCTTCTAACAATTCTATGCTTTCAAGTTTAATTGCACAACACGAATCATATAAAGACCACTAAAGATTTGTTTGTCGGTTTTTGTTTATTTTAAATAATCTCTTGATACTCGCTGATTCACAACTGACTAATTACACCTTTTTTGTCAGATTCAGGGAAAGATCCACGCATCATGGACAGTCAATTGAAAAGCTTGAACATGGACATACATAGCTGATATTCCTATTCATTGCAATTAGCATGAGACTGGACCAGATGGCTTCTCATTTCCAGGTCACATAAATGTAAATACACCCTCGAACTCCATTGTTATAACTCTTCTTTGTTCACTATCTGTTTGCCTGATTGTGCCTGTCTCTCTCTCTCTCTCTATCTATCTCTTGTGTTTCAGAGAGCTTAAAGCCAGTGCTCACCGGAGTAGTTTAGAACTAATTTTAGGCTAATACGCAAATTTTCCCAAGATGTACAGATATTTTTTGTCCACGGCGATTCATTAAAAGGTTCGATATGAAAGGTATCATTTTACAACGGTGTCAACTAACTCTACAGCATACATTGGTACTAAAGGCTATCAGTGGGGTTAATGTAGTTTTTTTCTTTCTTATATACAATTTTTTATTCACTTTTGGGTGAGAAAATTATTGTAGATGTACATAAAACAGTAGAGAGAAAACAAATAATCAAAAATTTCTTACTTCCACTGTTCATACTTTTTTTTTGCCAAATACCCATCGAAGAAGTTATCATGTTGTGGGAAAAAGTAAAAGTCAATATGAAACCCGTTACTATTAAGATATAGATCGATTTTTACTTAATTCAATTTTACGTGTTGTTTGAACTCTGAAGTGTCCGATGCTCTGAGCAATTTCGTCAATATTAAATCTGGTATAGATGGATAATCGACTAAACTGCTCATAAGGTGAAAATTAAGCCTCGGATACATTAAGAAGTATACAGTGTACTCACTACTCACAATCACAGATTGCTTGTCCGTTATCCAAAAATTTGTATTTAAGAATTACAACCCTAGTGTTTTGGTTTTCGAGTATTATGATCGACTGATTTCAATATCTTCAAGTATTTAGGACAACATACAGTATGTTTGAGTCGGATACTTTGGATATTTATCATGCAAAATCGGAACTAGCTCGTGGGTTAATATGGAATATTGATGTCTCTGTTACCTCTTCACCTAACGCGGAGTGTTGCTACCATTAGTCTAATAGATGGATACCGGTAATGGATTTGGAAACTGTGTACTACACTTACGAGTCCTTTTGCGATTAGATTTGAGTAATTTGGTTAATCTGAGAGTCGATTACCTGAAAAGCTGGGATCTTCGAAACATCAAAAAAGACATAAAAGATCACCGGCTTTTAGTGAAAAGAACAAGGAAACGTAATAGATACCAAACAGTTCGCACGTGGGTATGGACCATTCTTAACTCTACATTTGATTCCACACCTAAAACTCCGTATCTCAGTTCCATAGATTCTAGCTTCTTCTTTTATCTCAATTTTTTTTTTTATAACGTGTGGATGAAGTTATTCTAGATTCCATATTTATATAATTTATAACAATTTTTTTGTGAAGTGAAAGAGGTAGAGTCACTTGTTGATGGAGGTACATTTCACTTTCATCCAGCTTTCATGTCCCCTTTTTTACCTATTGATCAGATCCACCAACATAGACCACACGACATGATCCACAGTGTAAAAAGAATATTTACACATATACAGTATATATATACATAGTATATGTCATACACAAATACATAATCATTGATATCATATGCGTTCCGTACAGTACGGACATGCAAATTGAATCTTCGTTTGAAAACATGCCGCTTCACTTCTCAGGCAAAAACTAAGGAAAAAAAAAAGTTTTTCCCATATTTGCTTAACTCTAAAATGAAGACCAACTTTAAAACATAAACTTGAGGCTTCACAATGTAGTTTGGTTAAATCTGTTTTACTTTTTTTTTAAAACCTAAAAAAAAAAAAATCAACACTAAATAGAACTAAACAAGAAAAATAGAAATACATACCAGAATTTTTTTATATATAAAAAAGTTTATACTATGTTTTATTAGAACTAACAAACCAATTATACTTCAGTTTTGTTTTTGTGCCGATTCTCTTATGCACGAAGAAACCCGAACCAAACAAAAATCCAGATTAAGCGTATCCAAATCAGGCATAAACCAAATATGAGAGTAATCCAAGAATCTATAGTTACTCTGTTACTGTTTATATTTTCAGCTAGTAATTATTAAATTATATGGCGCATATACATTATATAGGCCACGTTTTTTATCCATAAATATCATGATCAGAAGATAACGATCTATGATTTATAAGTATTATTTCTAGTCTAGGTATTGACTTTTAAATTGTTAGGCAATATACAACGAAAGATTGCGAAAGCTTACAATTTCCACTTTATTATTAAAACTGGACGGTTAGGCTAACTAATCACTTTCAGTTTCAGTCCCTTTATAACATGTACCATCAACAAATTAAGCTTTTTCGTTTAATGTTAGAAAAACTTACACTTATACCAAACTTTTTACTCATATATACATATATACAAACCGTATCTAATGTGTATGTATAGATGTGTGCATATAAATACGTTAAGAAAGGAGCGAATAGCAATTCACAAACCAATCACTTCATAATTCAATACCATATAGCAATCACACTCATAGTCTCATGGCTACTAAATTCACCATCCTCACTCAAGTCCACCGCCCAAAAACCTCAATTTCAACCCGAAAAACTCCCCGATGCAGCCAAAACAAGCCCCGACCATCCAAATCCATAAGCGAGAACATGTTCAACAACGTTTTTCCTGGCAAAGCCCTAACGGAAATCTATCATAATAACCAAAACTCGGACCCTCTTACTGATTCACTACTTTTTATTGAAAATCAGTCAGTTCAGGAAGAGGAGAGGAGTCAACAAGAACGCAAGGTGTCGTCGTACTGCAACCGCAAAGAGGGTAAGTCGATAAGCGCGGAGAAATACGAAGATTTGAGACGTGAAGTTGCTCGATTAAGCTTGTTGTGGTACATGAAATGTTCCATAAGCTTTATATTAAGAAAGGCAAGAGCGTTTTACAATGAGTTTTGTTGCGATACTTATGTTGCGGGTAGCTCCATGGTTGTGGTCGATCCATATTTTTCTGTTCCAGTTTTACCTGTCAATAATTGATTAATATCTCCAAGTCTACGTGATTTAAACTGTTTTTTAATATATACGTGATTAAAAGTTGTATTTAGCTTTGTTGTGTTGTAATGTGTTGTACGTTTATATATGTGTTAAAAGACATCATCCTATGTGTAATTAATGGTGTCTTTCAGTTTGTGATTCGACGTACAAACTAATGAACTATTATCTATCATCAAAAATACACTTAAAATATTACAATATCGAATAAACTAGTTACGTATTGCAGTTAGACACTAAATCTGAATATTTTGTACATATTTTTATATACAATTTAGTAATGATATAAGATTTGAACATGTATATATGACATATATCTATATTATTTCTGAAGATAAACTGATTTTTCAATCTTACTTTCTTCTGCTAATAAGCTTTTTCAATCTTTGAAGTATTAGATTTAGAATTTTAGGTAACGGATTCAGAAAAAGTTATGATGTGGAAATTAACATATATGTTTGCTTGAGAAATTAAATATACTATTGTCCGTTCTTGTTCTACAGGTTCCTCTGCAAATGAAATTCACAGTTTTACAGTATTTTCTCATAAACACAATACGACAAAATACATTTCATAAATAATATTGAGTTGTTGTATATTGACCAGACTTGACCATATATACATGGAATTATGAAGTACTACAGAACCTTATAGGTACCGAGTATGGTCCACTAACTTTGATCTTAAACTCAAGCTCCATAATTAGTAGTTTAGTACTGTTATTTGTTTGTATACTGAGAGAGAGAGAGAGAGTAAGATAGTAGCTGCTATGCATTAATATATCAATGTTGTACGCTGTACGCATGAATATAGTATAACAACTGTTCATGCATGCAAAATCACATGCATAACGTAGTGATTACATTATTACATTTCATGAGAAGGACCACACGTTATAAATACATATATGGTCCACTACAGAATTCATAAATGTATTTGTACCGTTATATATGGTAACTTATGTTGACTCGTACCTGTCCCATTCAATCAAATTACATGTTCTTCTTCGTTACTTCTAGAACTATGTATGTATAATGATGTTGATAAACTGATAATGGTTGGCAAAAAAAACGATATTGATGACTCGGATGAGTGATCATTGGTCACCTTAGGTTAGTTATATTGACAGTGATTCAACTAATGGTTATAGGTCTTACTTATATTGACAGTGATTCAACTAATGGTTATAGGTCTTACTCGTGTTCTTAATTATTACGATGATAGCGATAAAAAAAGATGATTAGTCTTAGTCATGTTGTTAATTGTTATCGATGAATATGATGAGGACGAGGATTTAAGTTTCTTGTTTTGGCCAAATAGCTACTACGGCTAATTTGTTGTGTGATTTTACAAAATTTTATAGTGAAATTTCATATATTATCTAATTTTTAAGTAGTACTTAATTGACGTGAAAATTATTAGTTCTCTACTTGAAAATGGGTAAGAAAAGGTTTAGAATTAGACCCAAAAAAGGATAGAGTAAAATGCTTTATAGCCCATTGGTCTGAAACTGGTTTTATAGACCCAAACTTTTAAACTGTACACATCTGCCCATAATCTTTTCCTTTTCCCGGCCAGCCCATATTCAAAATGTTAACTGAAAAAAGATCAGAAAATACGTTATTTAAGGTGTTACTGTTAATTCAAATTGTAGTTGTTTTTTTTCTTCTTCTGCTAAATCATGAAGTTCAAACCAGATTCTGTGATAAAACTCAGATTTGGTCAACCAAAATATCAACTTTCATATTAATCTTAATAATTGTCTATAAGATATGTCATGAGAGCTGCATTGTTGTCATGTTTTTTTTAATATCGGATAATGCTTTACATATGATTCTTCTCTAATAATGTTTGATCTCCTAATCTTGCAACACGGACAGAACATGAATAGTAAAATTATTAGTTGGTGCCAGTAAAAACAGAAATTGTAGAAATTGTCCTTAACAGTTTATATTTAGAATTGTACTCTCTATCTTTGGTGTAATTGGGTCTTCTAGACGAAAACTTTAATTATAATATATAACTCTGCGCCTATATTGGTCAAAACTTTATATATTGCTAATCAAAAGAACATGATGATCATTTTGCGATTCTGCCTTTTTGTTTATCAATCGAACTTATCTACCTTGTGTTAATAATTAAATTTCATTATAGTGGACACTGAAATTAAAAGCTAGCCACCATCAGAGGCAATAACTTTTTTAGTTTTCTAGAAACTTAATTAAGTAACACATAAATCTTCCATTGTGAATTTATACCGATCTAAATTGCCAGACGTGATAAAATAATCAAACTCGTGTAATCGTTGGATCACAAAGTAGATGTTATTCCTATTTTTTTCATTATGTAATAATCAAGTGATTAGCTATTTAGCTTAACTGGCTTTTACATAATAATGTTTGTTGATGGTGTCTTGGACTAACCCACATGGAATGTTCCTATACTTTTTCACGGATACAGTGTTACAAGTTGCAGACATATTTAAAATAACGAAAAATCAATGTTTTGTCCTCATA